TCGTGGCCACTGCACTCCAGTCTGGGCGACAGAGTGAGACTCCAACTCAAAAAAAAAAAAAATAAATAAATACACAATAAAGTATGTAACTTTTCAAAATAGATGACTTTTTAAATATCCACGTGTGTACCACCACTTTAAAATTTAGATTGAAAAACCATCTGTCTAAAACTTGACCCGTCACATGTGCTGTTCTTTGTGCACGTCACCTGCAGGTGGCAGGTCTGTCAGGGAGGCTTGACTCCTTCTCCACCACATTTGAAGCCTTTTCCCTCTTTTTGCCCTTTGGATATTAAAGAGCCACTCTCTGCATCTCTGTCCTAGCTCCACGAGCCTAGAAGGTCACTGAGGGTTTGAACAAGAGTCCTGCCGCATCCTTCTCACCCCTCTCATTTCTCTCCAGGTTCAGCGTCCCATCCCCCTGACACCAGCCAACCCCAGCATGCCCCCACTGCCGCAGGGCTCACTCACCCAAGAGGAGCTCATGGTTTCCATGGTGACTGGCCTGGCCTCCCTGACGTCCAGGACCTCCATGGGCATTCTTGTTGTTGGAGGAGTGGTCAGTGACGCAACTTGCTTGGGCAGGTGGGGTGGAGAGTAGGCGGGTAAGGACTGAGGCTTCATTGTGGGGCCTCATTGGCCCCATGCTCCCTATATGAGCTGAGTGTTTTCTCCTCCCTTAGTGACTTCCACTGAACTGTCATGAGAGCACTGACTCCCTCACTTCATTCCCTCGTCTCTAACTGGAGGTGGTCCCTTCCGAGGCCCTTCTGGCCTTGGTGGGATCAAAGGAAACTTGGGAAGAGGGGTTCTGAGTGGAAGCAGTGGCTCCTTGACTGGGGTCCTGGGGCAGTCCTGGTAGTGACAGGCCAGGAGGAGGGCTCATAGGCTCTGCTGCAAGCTGACTGTGTGCTCTGCAGGTGTGGAAGGCAGTGGGCTGGCGGCTCATTGCCCTCTCCTTTGGACTCTACGGCCTCCTGTATGTCTACGAGCGTCTGACCTGGACCACCAAGGCCAAGGAGAGGGCCTTCAAGCGCCAGTTTGTAGAGTATGCAAGCGAAAAGCTGCAGCTCATCATCAGCTACACTGGCTCCAACTGTAGCCACCAAGTCCAGCAGTGAGTGACTCCAGCAGCCTGGAGGGGGGACGTCCCTCTAGAGGGATCAGCTCCATCTCCCTCCCAGGAAACCACCAAGTCCTGGGCATTATGGGCCCTGGGCCTTCAGGTGTGCAGTGCCAGCTTGGAGGCCAGCGGTGGGGTGGGGTCTCTCAGGGACACTTACATCTTGGCCTGGGACAGGTAGGCCTCTCGTCTCCAGGGGAGGAAGAAATGGAAAGACCAGGGACACTCCTCAGAGGAGGCTTTAGAGGTTGCCTTGAAGGGTTTGGGCTGTGGATGTGGCTTTGCAGTTCTCCATCCCAGCTTGCTCATGCACATCTTGGGTTGGGTGGAGATGGGTCTATTGCTTGATGTGGGCAGGGGATAAATGTGCTGACTTTTTATTGCTATGTGGCAGGCCCTTGGCTAGCCATTTTGCACCTGATTTTTTCTTTTTACAATCTTTTTTCTTTTTTTGAGTTGGAGTCTCACTCTGTCGCCCAGACTGGAGTGCAGTGGCCACTCCCGGCCACCGCAGCCTCGAACTGCTGGGCTCTGATTTGCCTCAGCCTTCCAAGTAGCCGGAATTACAGGCATGCGCTACCATGCCCGGCTGATTTTTTGATTTCTTGTAGAAATGAGGTCTCGCTGCCCAGGCGGGTCTCGAACTCACGGGCTCAGGCAATCCACTCACCTCAGCCTCCCAAAGGCACGGGATTACAGGCTAAGCCACCGAGCCCGGCTTTTTACAATCTTTTATTCTTTTTTTTGAGCTGGGGATCTCACTCTTGTCACACAGTGGCATGACCATGGCTCACCACAGCCTTGACCTCCTAGGCTCAGGAGATCCTTCCACCTCAGCCTTCTGAGTAGCTGGGACTACAAGGTGTATGCCACCACACCTGGCTAATTTTTTTGATCTTTTTTAGAAATGAGGTCTTGCTTTGCTGCCCAGGCTGGTCTTGAACTCTTGGGCTCAAGCAATCATCCCAAAGTGCTGGGATTATGGGCGTGAGCCACCATACCTGGCCTGATTTTGAATTCACTTCCCTAACCCTTCAAGATAGATGTCGCTTTATTGGCATCTCCTTTTGCAAAATGAAGAAACTGAGACTTGAGTACTTGTCTTGTGTCCCCTGCCACTTGACTGAGGAGCAGCAGAACCAGGTTCTCTTGTGCCAGGCTGGAGTGCTCTGCCCTGTGTTACTGCATCTCATGCCATGGTAGTACTGAGTGTGTGTGCTTGTGATTATTCACAGCTTCAGCAGCGGGTGGGAGAGATTCTGCCAAACAGGGACTGGTACAGAGCTGAGCTGCTGGCAGCAAGGTGGACAGGCCCAGCCGCCAGCCTGGGTAGACTGACCACCAATGGCATCTTGCTCAAACAGCCACATGCCCTGGTTCATCCCTCCTCTCTTCCCTCAGGGAACTGTCTGGGACATTTGCTCATTTGTGCCAGCAAGTTGACGTCACCCGGGATAATCTGGAGCAGGAAATTGCCACCATGAACAAGAAAATTGAGGTTCTTGATTCACTTCAGAGCAAAGCAAAGCTGCTCAGGTGAGGCTGGCCTGAGGGCTGGAGTTGGGGTTCTGATACACAGCTCAGGCACTTGGCATTTTTGTTGAGCTGCTGGTCTTGTGTCTTGGTCGTGAATACAGACCTGCTGGGCATTTAGCCCATGGTATTAGATGAATGCAGGCGGGGCCAGCGCTGGAGGCTCAAGATGTGGCGTCACTGCCCTCAAGGTGCCTGCAGCTGGGGCATGGCACCATCGCAGGAAGTGTGCATCACAGCATTGCACAGTTGCAGCCTACAAGCTCCTTGTCCTGAACTGCAGGGCCCAGCACTTGGCGCATGAGGGGTGGGCCATCAACTTCATTTTACAAATAGGAGAAGTGAGTAGTTTGTCTGGAATCCCCAGCAGGTGGTCAGGTCAGGAGCGGGTCCTGGCGTGTTTGGTTCCAGCAGCCTCCACACTTTGCGTGCCGATTCTCCTCACTGTGGGCTGGCCCTGCCACATATCCATGGTGAAACTGCTTACATGGTGGGGACTGGCAGAGCTGGGATTGGAACCCAGATCCTCTAGGTCTCTGTAGAGCTTGCTGAATGAGTAGTGATGAATTGAATGTGATGAATGCTCTGAATGTGCGTCCATCTGAGGAGTCAGGAGTCCTGAGTTCTTGACAGCCACTCATGTTTGGCAAAGTCGTTTAATGTTCCTCCGTCTCAGTATTCTTATCTATTAGTGGAAGATTTCATGACATAGCCACAGAACTAAATGTCAGAGTACTTTGCAAAAGCTTTCAGCCTGCTCAGCTGTGATAACATCTGCCCACGGGGTCCCTGTGCTTCCTGCCCTGCCCCTGACGTCAGGCCTGCAGGCCAGCAGAGCCAGAGGGGAGTTGGGTCCAGCCCCCTCACCAGATCATGGACTTTCCCTTCCCTCAACTGTGTGGGTGTGCCTCCACCGCCATCACCACCACTGTCATCCTGGGACGGCCATGTCCTAGGGCATACTGCTCACCCTTTGGGAACTCTCGGGGATGGGGCGCTGGGTGTCTACTTCTTGTCAGCCTCAGCGACAGGACTGAACCTAGAAAGGCATCGCAGCACCCCAACTCCTTGCTTGACAAGCAGGAAGACTGAGTTTCCAACAGTTCAGGGACTGGCCCATAGTCCCAGGTGACACAGGGTTTGGGAGGCAGAAAAACCTGGCTTGGTTCCCTTGCTTATTAGCTGGGTGACCTTGGGATGTTACGTAATCGCTCTGGGCTGCTTTCTCCATCTGTGAAATGGGGTTCAACGGGGTTAATGAGGATTAAATGAGTATGGCAGATAATGCTTGTATTTTTAGCTATCAGCTGTCATGGCTACAGAGTGCCCATTTCTTTGCAGGAATAAAGCCGGCTGGTTGGACAGCGAGCTCAACATGTTCACACACCAGTATCTGCAGCCCAGCAGATAGTGGGCAGCCTGGGTGGAGCCTGCATGGTGCAGGGCTGCGCCGCCAGCCCTCAGTGCCAGGTGGGCTCCCCAGGGGCCTGTGCGGCTCCTGCCCCCTGCCACCACCCAGAGAACCAAGCACCCACTGTCTCATGCCGTTTCAAGCCCTTCAACGCTAGTTATTTCTCCTCCTTTGCCTGCCATTGCAGGCAGATCCACTCATACCCCTAAAGGACACTTCTCCACAACTACTGGAAAGCATGGTACCATGGAGCTGAGTCGAGGCCTTTCTGCTTGGTCAGCCTCGCTGACTACAGATCACATGATTGCTTGGTGAGGCCTCGGGCTCAGCACTGCAGATGCCTCGTGAAAGCCTTCACAGTGTCATGCAGACACCCCGTCTTCCTCTGGCTGTGTACATCACCCACCTTGCACTCCAGCACACTGCAGAGAGAGGCTGCCAGGGTGACTGGATTTGCTTCCAGAAGCGTCGGGAATGGTTCTGGAAGGCCGAATGTGCCCCAGAAGGACTGTGGCTTGTGTCAGCCTGGCCTATTGACTTTAGTGCTTGTCTGTTTGCAGAAACTCTCAGGCATCCAGTGGTGAGGTTCCATGTGCCTGGGCTGTAGATCGAGGCAGCCTGTGCCCTGTGTCCAGTCAGTTGAAGGAGGAAGAACAGCTCAGAGCAGAGAGCTGTGTCAGAAGCACAGCGTGTGTCAGAGTTGGTGGCCGTCACTGATGAGGGACGTGGCTCTCTTGTCGTTGTGTCCCATACTCCAGTTTCAGTCCTTGGCCTGTGTGGGCCTATTTTGTTGGTGGTAGAGACGGCTTGGCGCAGGTGGTTAAAGCATGTTGTCGAAGGAAGGACGGCAGAAGGGACACCTCAGGACAGGCCGAGGGGTGGGCCCCTCCCAGGACAGCTGGAGAACAGACCTCCATTTGCCCTTGCTCTGGGAGGGGCTCATGGCCTGAGGGCTCCACCCACTAGCTCGATGGCATCCCTGTCATGCCCTTAAGAGACACATCTCCAACCCCTGCCACCCTGCCCCAAGCTGCCCTTGGCCACCAAGCCCCTGAACTAAGTTTCCTGCTCCAGTGACTGCAGTTGGCGAAGGGACAGTGCGGGGAAACCCAGCACCCATCCTCCCACCCTCCCTGATTCCCATTGCCTCTGATTGACACGCTTGTCCTCATGTTGATTTTGAGAAGTGTTTCCTGTTGTTGAGTTTGCGGATTGTTACTGGTCAAAGTGAGGGCAGGTTCCCATCACCAAGATGTTAACTATATGGCAGAAACTGTGTTTGGGTGACAGAGCTTTTGCAGCACAGGGCACAGGCTGAAGAGCTTCCTAGAAACAGGTAACACCTCTCCCAGAAAGCAGCCCACAGAGAGTTCAGTCCTGCCACGATTTGAATCCAGCCCTTCTCCAGTGTGGGGAAATACACTGGTGGCCATGCAGATGATGTCCTCTCCATATACCCACCTGTGCTTCAAACCCTCAACCTACCCTGTTGTATGGGACAAAGTGATGGACTCTGCCGAGGTCAGCCTGTGGTTAGGAGGATGTTCTGAGTGTTTGCTAGGCTTGGATGGATGGGGCCGCCTACAGCGTGTCCGGGCAAGTCAGTGTCACACAATTCCAATGGATTTTGTGCTCTTGAGAAAAAAGTATTTAAACATGAATTTTTTCAATGTAGCCCCTGGAGAATGAATGAAATTTTGAGCTTCTTATACAATAAGTAAAATTAACTTTATACCACGGAGGGAGAGACCCTTTCTGAAAGAAGTGTGGCAAAAAGCACTTTAATTTAATGCTGCTAACTTTGTTCTCTGTCTTTATGTTCATCTGCTGGAGTGCAAGGCGTGCGTGACACAGTGAATTTTCTCTGATATATTTGAGGTGATGTATTTGCCCGAATTACTCCTGTATCATTGCTGATAAATTGGAAACTAAAATAAAACCTAGTTGGAAATGCTGTGGGATCTCTGCCTTGCCAGTTACTGTTCTTGTACAGACTCTTCTTGGACGTGGCTGAGTCTGCAGGGTGTATTTTGAAGTGACCTTAGCTTTTATTTTATTTTTTATTTTTTGAGTTGGAGTCTCACTCGGTCGCCCAGACTGGAGTGCAGTGGCCGCTCCTGGCCACCGCAGCCTGGCCTGCTGGGTTCCGGCAATCCTTCCGCCTCAGCCTTCCGAGTAGCCGGAATTACAGGCATGCGCTACCACGCCCGGCTGATTTTTTGATTTATTGTAGAGGTGAGGTCTCGCTGCCCAGGTGGGTCTCGAACCCGCGGGCTCAGGCAATCCACTCACCTCAGCCTCCCAAAGGTGCGGGATTACAGGCTGAGCCACCAAGCCCGGCTTGAAGTGACCTTAGCTTTGAGGGAAGTTCCCTACTATCATCTGCCCGTGGGTTCCTCCTTATTCTTGGAAGGAGTCTGAGTTCTGAGAAGAAAAAATGGCTAACTGATCAAGGATCAAGAAATCTAGAGTGATTTCTTTACAGATTTCTATATAACTCCAGACCACTCATTTTTCACTTAAAGAGTAAATGACTCAAATTAGTCCTCCTGCTTTGTTTCCTATGAATTTGATTGTAACCGATTTTTTTTAAAAGAGTGGATACAGGTGTGGCTAGTCAGTTTCCCTGCCCCTCACAGCTGTCCCTTCTCCTCTGAGAGCACCTACCACCTGCCCTGCTGGCCCACAGAAGCCACAGCTCAACTGATAGCAAACTCATCCTTCCAGATTCCCAGGCCCATACTCAGGGCATCACCCTCCAGTCCACTGTCGCACCTGCTGCATCTGCCAGTTTCTACCTTTCTGTCTGTCTCAACTCCACCCACTCTCCGCACCTTCACCACAAGCACCCGGCACTGACCCAGATTCCTGCCTCCTGCCTTGTCCCTTCCACCTATCCTTGCCGTCTTGCTGTTTCAAGGCAGCAGCCGAGACCTTTTCATATAGAACTCTACAGAAAACGAAATTAATCACTGGGCTTTTTCTACAATATACAAAACAAGGAGTTTCTGGCATTAATGGGATGCTATTTATAACCCACTGAATTGCTCACACCACCATGCTGGGTGGTGAGAGAGTGTTCTACATATTGTTGCCTCATTCTACATAGCATAGTTATTCCCAGGCCAGACTCATTCCTGCCAACCTCAGCTGTCCACTGGAAGTCCTGGGGAATCTGAGAGGCTGGAATGTTTTGCGCTCCAGTAACAGGGTTCCATTTAATCACAAAGTGTGTGTAGTCAGGTATGTCCCACTCCAACCCAAGCTGTAGAGAGAGGACCAGGGCAGCTACCCCTGTAGCAGGTTCCACCTCACAGATGTCAATTGAGTTCACTCTGTCCTCACAGGCATGGTTTTCTGTCTCTGAGTCATACCCTTAGGCTTCAGGTAAGAACAGCTTATCCAGATCTCAGCATGTGTCAGACACTTGTGTGCATGAACCCTATCCTCCCCAAGAACCCGATGATCTATTTTCTCTCATTTCCTCAAATGAGGAAGTTCATTAATTCAGCAAAACATCTGAGTGCCTACTGTGTGTTAAGCATGGTTCTAGGTCTGGGAGACACAGCAGTGAATAAAGTGGGTAAAAACCCTGCCTCTACAGAGCTTGTGTGTTAGGAAGGACAGAGGATGGACAAATTCATCAGGTAAAAGATATAGGTGGTGAGAAGATAAGGGTTATTTATGAAGATGTGGGGGCTAGCCACAATAGTTTACTCAGGGGGGCCACACTGAGAAGACAGCATTTGAAGAAAGACTTAAATGGTGAAGGCGATTTCTGGGCAGGGTTTTCCAGGCAGAGGGAACAGCTTGTGCAAAGGCTCTGAGATAGGAACATGCCAAACATCTTCAAGGAACAAAATGAGACTAGTGTGGCCTGAGCAGAGTGAGGGAGGTGAAGAGAATGGTAGGAGAAAAACTGTGAAAAGGAACTGGTGGTGTTGCAGGCCATGGTAAAGGACTCTGGCTTTTTCTGTGTGTGTGGTAGGTGTCCTTGGAGAGAGTTTTGAGCAGAGGAGTGTGATGAGCTGACTTACATCTTTTTTTTTTTTTTGAGTTGCAGTCTCATTCTGTTGCCCAGGCTGGAGTGCAGTGGCACGCTCACAGCCACCACAGCCTCGACCTGCTGGGCTTAGGAGATCCTTCCACCTCATCCTTTCAAGTAGCTGGAAGTACAGGTGTGCACCACCACACCCAGCTAATTTTTTAATTTATTGTAGAGATGTGGTCTCACCATGTTGCCTAGGCTGGTCTCGAACCCGTGGACTCAGGCAATCCTCTCACCTCCCAAAGTGCTGGGAATACAGGCCCAAGCCACTGCACCTGGCATGACTTACATCTTCATAGGCTGTTGTGTGGAGAGTAGACAATAGAGAGGAGACCAGTCCAGAAGCAATGGCAACATTCCAAGGAGAACATGATAGTGCCTTCAACCTGGGCCCTGGGTGAAAGGCAGTATGGCCAGGTTCTAGGTACCTTTTTTCTTTTTTTGAGTTGGAGTCTTACTCTGTCACCCAGACTGGCGTGCAGTGGCCACTCCCGGCCCCCGCAGCCTCGACTTGCTGGGCTCCGGTGATCCTTCCGCCTCAACCTTCCAAGTAGCTGGAACTACAGGCGCACGCTACCACGCCCGGCTAATTTTTTGATTTATTGTAGAGATGAGGTCTCACCAAGTTGCCCTGGCGGGTCTCGAACCTGCGGGCTCAGGCAATCCACTCACCTCAGCCTCCCAAGGCGCGGGATTACAGGCTGAGCCACCGAACCCGGCTACCTTTTTTCTTTTTTCTTAGAGATGGATTCTCTCTGTGTCATTCAGGCTGAGTGCAGTGGACAATTAACAGCTCACTGCAGCCTTGAACTCCAGGACTCAAGCAATCTTCCCTCCTCAGCCTCCTGAGTATCTGGGACTACAGGTGCATGCTACTGCTCCTGATTAAACAGCTCTATTGAGGTATAATTTACATACCATAAACGTCACCAATTTTAAGTGTACAATTCAGCCATTTTAGTAAATTTTCAGAGTGGTACAGCCATCACTACAATCCAATTTTAGAACTTTTTCATCATCCCCCAAAAACCTCTTGTGCCTATTTGCAGACACTTCCTGTTCGGACCACTCATCTCTGCCTTTTTAGATTTGCCTTTTCTGGATATATTGTATAACTGGAATCATGCAATCTGTGGTCTTTTGTGTCTGGCTTCTTTCATTTAGCATAACGTTTATGAGATTCATCCATGCCTTGCTCCTTTTTATTGCCAAATAGTTTCCATCACACGGACATACCGCATTTGGATGATTTATTTATGAATTGGACATTTGGATTGTTTCCAATTTTTTGTGGTTATTAATGTGATCTGAGAGACACATTCATATGTGCCAACTAAGACGGACCCTTAGGTTAAGGAAATAAAAAGTTACCTACAGGTTGAATGTTCGGGGCCTCGCTGGCATGTCAAATTCTAAATCCCTACAAGAAAAACTGCAGCCTCTGATTAATAACCTTATTCAATAAAAAAAGAAAAAAACTATACTCCTGCCAGGCACAGTGGCTCACACCTATAATACCAGCACTTTGGGAGGTGGAGGCAAGAGGATTGCCTAAGTCCAGTGGTTTGAGACCAGCCTGGGGTGCCAATAAATAAAATACCCCTTATTCAATAAAAAAGAAAAGAAAAACCATTCTCCTGCTGGGCACAGTGGCTCACATTTGTAATTGCATAATCGCAGGCTGAGGTGGGAGTATTGCCTGAGCTCAGGAACCTGAGACCAGCCTGGGCAAGACCTCATCTAAATAAATAAATAAAATTAGTCAGGCATGATGGCACACAGTTGTAGTCCCAGCTACTCAGGAGGCTGAGGCAGGAAGGATCTCCATTGCACCGACCAGATCTCAGAGATATTTGATCCAAAGTCATGAAGATTTTTCTTTTAGGTTTTCCTTGGTAGAAGTTTCTTTTATAATTTCATAGGTTTAGGCTTTACAACTAGGTCTATGATCCATTTGGAGTTAATTTTTGCATATGGTATGAGGTATAGATAGAGGATTTTTTTTTTTTTTTTTT